CGGTACTTTCGACTCAGGTTCGAAAACGTCAAATGTCAAAACGTGTATTTCCGTTGAAAACTCAGATTAAAAAATGTTCTCGATCGCAATACTTACCCTTATATATATAAGTAAGTAAAAGTAAAAAGAAACATGTGACAGCTTATTTTTACTAATTATTATTTATATTTTCAGATATTATATATAAAAAATTTATTTTAATTCATAATAAATTATTGAGCATGTTTTTAAAATGAATGTAATAATTATTTAAATTAGCATTATTTTCAATTAACGCTATTCTTTTTTATCCTTTTTATTCTTCTTTTCGTTTTTTTATCCTCTTGATAATGCTACATCATTGTTTAAATTTCACTACTTAGTTATCCAGTTCAGTATTTACTCTTTATTATTAAAGTCAAGAGCCATATATAACGCTGAGAGTTTCTGTGGAAATTGTTCTAAAATTGAAATTCTTCAATGAAAAACAATTACTAAATACTTAAATTTAAATTAAAATACATTTTTTTTTGTTACAATAATTTCGCTTATACTGACGTTTAAATATTTTCTCAGCCATATATATATATCTATATATATTTCAAAATCATCTCGTTCGTTTTGGCTTGAAGTTAAAGGAATGTTGGGGATTGGTCAACAAATAAACAAATAGATAAGAATTTCATCAAATTCCGACCATTTGTTCTTGATACGCCTTTATTCTCTGATGAACGAAAATAAATAAGGAAAGCCTTTTATTGAAATTGAACAATCTTGTCCAAAATTTTAAAATATGTTTTAATGAATGTGATTTTTGCTTCCTCACTACCGAAGATTGAAAACCATTGGGAAGATCGAGGAAATTTCTACCGGTGTATGAATTAGAAACATCGAGGAGTAATTCGGGTTCCGTTTCTATATTCAAATCTTTGAGAGTGGTATATCACTTAATGTTGTTGGTTCAATTTTTACAAATTTTTCAAAGATAGTAAAGGTTGGTATCGAAATAGTCCCATATCAATATCAACAACTGCTTTCGATTATGCTTGCGTAAATCATTTTTTCAATAATGGCTCGTTCGATTTGGTTCAAAGCTGGAAGAAAGTTAAGTATTGATAAAAAATAAATAAAAAAATAATAACTACGGTGTGTACTTAAGACCCACACGATATAAGTGAAAACACCAACAATAAGACAGTTAATAGTATAAATGTAATATTTTGTTGTTCTATATTTACAATATAATAACATATACAGCACATAAAATTATAATGGAGTATAAATTATTCTGGTATACTTTGCACTGTACTGATCGTAATCTGTATGATACTCTAAAAATGATATAATAGGTTTATGTTAACTAAAATATGCGATAAATACCGTTACAAATCTAGAACCTCTTCACACAACCAGAACCTCTCCTGGAATAGCTATATCTCCCAGATTACCCGAAAATCCATGACTGCCCTTAAACAACTCCTACGATTCCGTCATTGTATTCCTCTAAAAACCAGGCAGCTTGTTGTAACCCCCCTGATATTCTCCCACTTCGACTACGGCTGTTTGATGTTCGGAGGGCTATCTGTTTTATATCTAAGCTATAAAAAAGACTGAAGAAACTCATGAACTATTTCATAAGATGTATCATCGGGATCCCCAGGCGTTTGTAACGGAAAGTGAAATACAAAAAAAATTAGTTCGTAAAATAATTTTTAGTTTTTATAAATAATAATAAGATTTTTTTTTTATTAACTCGAAGAGGGTTAAATATAAACTTAAGTATGTAGTTTTAGTTTTAATAATAAGTAATTGTTTATGATAAGTCTTAGTTGTAAATATTATTTTTAAGTCAGTGTAACAGCCAACAGCTGATTGGGAGAAAAACAAAAGACAGTTAAGAGAGAGATGGCGGAACCTCGCGAGTGTTGAGGCACGCTAAGGATTTGGTTGTATGAAATACGGATTTTCTTTTCTTATCCATGAACCTGTGATTATCAGCGACGAGTGCCTTTTTATTTTGCAAGTTGATGATTGAACATTTGACAGCTTGAGGAGATAGACTGGGGAGACCCTGACGACGCTAGTTCGAATAAGTTCCCGCTTCTTCAGATAACCCAATAGTGATAGTTGGACAGTGTTCAACCAGTGGGATGTTGTAAATATGTACATATAAGTTTTTTTTCTATCTATTTTTATTACCAAATGTTTGTAATTGGTATATAGTATAGTTGTAGGTTAATGTTAGTTCTATAATAATTTTATATTCTTTTCTTTGGTAATTGAAGTTAATTGTATTTTCTTTTTTTTGTTTTTTATAATTCTAATTTCTTGTTCATAATTTTCATTTCCTTTAACTGGAATTTAAATCGCTAGAAATAAGTAAATTCATCATTAGTATTAATAATAGCCAGTTTTATTTTCTTCTTTATCTTTATTATCATTATCATTTTTTTTTTTTTAAGGTTTAATAATAATTGTAAAACCCTATTCGAGGGATTAGGAAAAGTCATTATTAACCAAATAAGAAGGTTCTATAGGTTATGAGGTTAAGTAACATGTTTTTAAACCCATAGGTTCCGAGTTCGTAACTCACTCCGCGTCCTAATTTTTTCTTTTTAATTAAATTTATTTTTTTTTTTGTTTTCGCTATTTTCTAAATTCAACAAATTAAATAGCGTGGCGCCTGTTAGTCAATATTTAATTGACTCTTGATTATTTTTATTTTTTTTTTTATTGCGAACCCTGCCGTCTCCACTGAGCATCCGGCAAGTTTGTTGCGGAAATTTTTTTTTTTTTTTCAAATTAAAGACCGTAACACGTTCATATGTTTCATTCTGGTACACCGAGTTGAAGTGGCTTTATCCTACTTCCCTACGACAATTCCTCCTTCCCTGTTTTCCTTTTCCAAGTCCTCAGAACCAAAAACCCTCTCTACATCCTGGAACTCCTTACTCTATTCACTTTCTTAATACTAGGTCTCAATCTATAGACTCCTCAACCTATCCCCTCCCATAAAACTTCTTCCTTCAGTAAATCATTCGTCACTTGTGCTGTTACCTTATGGAATTCACTTCCTAACTCCATACGTCAATCCTCATTCACAAATTCCTTTAAAGAACTCCTGTACCACCACCTACTCCACATTCAAACTTCTGCAAACATGTAAAATTACTTGCATGTGTACACTGTTTAATTTCAATCTACTGCACAATAACACTACTTGCAATAACAGCTAATTAGTTTGTATTTTTTTTTCATTTTAAGTCAGAGTAAGACCCATAAATTTGTATCTCTGTTATTATTCTTAGGGGACAGCAGTCCCAGGATAAAATTATTTTTTCATTTCATTTCATCTATTTGTTAAATATATAACAAAAACTCCATCAATCGTTGATCCATATTTTGTTGTGTTTTCATTTTATCATTCGACAAATCCAAATGATGATTTCAAAAATCAATTAAATGTTTTGATGTGTCTTTTGAAAAATCTTCACTCAAAAACATCGGTAATGTATGAAGATCTCGGTTGAAAAGAGCAGATCCTGCTGAGGTGTAGATTAGTAAATTATCATGGATGGATTCAATGCTTTTCTTTGATTAGGCGAAATATAAATAGCTACCATTACAATTTATTGTCCATTTTCTAATTTACGTTTCGCTGTACTAACTTCTTCCATTGACGCTAGGAAATGCTACATGCATCTGTGTGTTAAGAGGCAATTTTAAGAATAGCTCATTAAAACGAAGACGATGGTCATTTTCCTTGCCTACAGTATATAGATCCGATTTTTAGTATCTGAAATATTTTAATCCATATGTTCAACTAAACTCGTTATCATTTGAATTATAGCCTATTACAGAGAGGATGAAATGCTGAACAATTTCCTCGCTTACAGAATGCAGGCCCGATTTATAGTTTCTGAGATAATGTAATCCATATGTAAAAACTCTGCAAATTATTTCACAATGGTTTATTATTAACAAACAATTATACATCTAAAGTAACATTACCTTCCGAGTTACAAAGAAAAAAAAAACAAAAGGTGATTCCAATTATTGGACGAAACTGTTTTTCTTTAATTATTAGTAATATGCTAAAAAAAATAGCATTAGTTCAGTAACATATTTAAAATTTAAAAACCAAACCAAGGATGTAGCATTTGGAGTAGAACACATAAAAAAAACCGGAGACCATAATTCTTTGCTCATATCTTTGCATATATAGCTTGCTTATATCTTTGCTCCTAATTGTCCGATTTTAACGATTTTTTAAAGTAAATTTCGTACTTTTAAATAACCATAATACATCAACAGAAAAGTGTATACTTTCGATTTATTCGGAATTTAATATGACCATCCCTCGTAACTTTTTTCCAGCTTCTTTTCGTTGAAGTATGTTATGTAGATAAATTTAAAGGGCGTCGAGAATGACTTTGGCGAAGTTTCATTGAAATCTATACATTCGTTTAGGAGCTACAGTCTATAGCAATGCAGGTTTTTCGGCCGTAATTTTGAAAGTTAAAGTCGGAGAGTAATGTCGATGAAGGAGGATCATCCTCGGGTGACCTCTGATTTTATATCAAAATTTGAAAAAAATCGGTCCAGTAGTTTCGGAGAAAAATCGCGGACGGCGGACGGACAGAAAAATTTGTATCCGTTTTTCGAATTCTACGCGTCTTGAAACGTGAAACCTCAAATTTTAAGAGGAGGTTATGTTTTTGAATTTTTTGGTCGATCACAATGTTTCATTATTGAAAATAATAAACCAAAATATTTTAATTAGTCGACTCTAGCCGACTTTACCCGAGCGTTAATACCGAACCAGATATGACAGTTACAACACAGTTGTTTTATGTTATTTATAACAGTTATGTTATTTTAATTCATGAATGGCAAAACGTTGACGGGTTTTGTTTTAAATTTTATTTTTTTTACTCCTTTATATTTTTATGATTTTTCTTTAATTAATAATAATCATATCCATAAAATAATAGGTAGAGGTACGGACAAATAAATACAAATTCAACTAATACAGGACTATATTGCACTTATAAACAAACATCTCATGATGCTGCTTAAGACATTCGACAGATCGTGTAATCATTTACACTCTTTATACAATCAATATAATTACATCATATAACTGTTTTTATTTACAATGTATAGTTAATTTACATGTAGTGTACAATGTTTACAGTTACTAGATTACATTTACAGATATATTTACAATATGATTTATACAGATTACATTTTTCTAACATATCTACAATCCTTGAAAATAAACTGAAACAATGGATGTTAAATTAGCAAAATATATAGTAATATATAGTTTCGTTGATAAGCAATTTGTTTTTAAATTTCTACATGTCCGAAACTATACGGATTTTTTTATTATTTATGAATGTCACAGTTTATTTCCAAGTCATTCGACTATCGCCTGCATAAGCTTATAAAACATGGATTATTCGACAATATCGTCCTAAAATCTATAAATGTTCAATAAATAAGGTTCAATTGATAAATATCTTTTGATTTAAAACTCAACACAATAAATTCATTTTCATGTTATGTCTGATACACAATATTATTCTGACAAAACCATATAACATTTTTCTTACATAATTTTTACAGCACTAAGCATATTACACTAATATTTAAAATACTTTTGAGTTATCGATACGGAAGGCAGCGACTTAGCCAACATAAGATAATCGATAGTTGCGCGCTATCGATGCTGATTCAGGAGGCGGTGGTGCTCAGTGACGTGACCCCGGAGACTCACCGCCTTCTTGATTTCATACTCCTCCTTCGCCGCGCATCGGGCACATCAGCATCGATTCCTGAGAGAGCTCATCCAAAGAAGAAGTCTCAGACACTGAAACATTTTAAATAATATATTTCAATTAGCTTTCACAATTATAGGTTAAATATAGAGTTAATATTACTTCACATGATTACACTGTTCGTGAAATACTGAAGCTTATCAAGAGAACATTCTGTTCACACATTCGGCAGGTGACATAAAGAACTAATTGACTAAATAAAGTGTTCTTAGTTGGATTAAATACGAAAGAAGGGAGAGGATAGATAGAAAGCATCTGTTAATAAATAAACAATAATAAACACAAGGTTACTGCGCACTTGACGCATTTGGCAGGATGGCTAAAGTAACCTTTGTACAGTCATCCATCTCTAAACAACTCACCTTTCATTTTTTTTTTTTTCTATTGGATAACTCCCTCCCTCCTTTTTTTACATACGAGGGATTCTTCAAGAGGTAACAACCAAACATTTTCTAACCATAGTGAGAGGGTAGAGTATATAAAGGGTAAACTATTGAATAGGCAGCAGCAAGTATAATCGTATATGATCTTTTAAAAAGAGGAGAACAATAAAATATCATGGGAGAGGGAGGTAGTTCCCTTTCCCCGCTTATGGAAACGAATCCTTGGCTTTAAAGCAACGTGTTCGCAGCCGCCGCCAAAACATGGAAATGAGATATCTGAGGAAAATAGAGAAGACCGAAAGAGGACGGATATGTAACAAGGACTGAATTAAAAATTTAACCCCTCGACCAGATAATAGAGATAGAGCTGGTTCGATGGTTCGGTCATATAATGAGGATGAATGACTGTTGTTCAGCAAAGAAAGCTATGGAGGCTAAACCAACGGGAAAACGGCCAAGAGGAAGACCTAGAATTACTTGGGAAGATTCTTAAAGTTAATGGAATTGGATGGTCGGAAGCAAGAAGAGCATCCTTCAACAGAGACGGAGGATAATCATTGTACAAAAATATCTACACCGAAAGAAAGAAGTATAATTGTATATGATCTACAATTTTTCAAATTCTATTTTTGATAGCACTGTTTTTAAAAAGAGGAGAACAATAAATTATTTTGAGAGTAGGAGGAGGTTCATGAGCCATCAACCTTGGGGGGATGGGAACCCCTGATAAATACTATAGTGTTTTCTCCAAAGTTGAATAAACTGCTTAAATGATTTTTAAGATTTCCTTGGAAAATAAATCTACGTTCAGCTTCAGTTAATTTTTTTTTTTTGCCATCTGTGGATAAAGTCCTGTTGCAGTTTTCGGATACCCTCGGGCATCTAAGAATGTTGTGACGGCAGGTGAATTTCAAAATGGTCTGCATATAAGTGATATAGAGAGTGATGGATGGAATCAGGAATGTCGCTAATATAAATGAAGAAAAATGGTCGAGTAAAGAGCCCTGAGGAACACCTCTTGTTGATTACAGAAATAAGGAAGGGTATTTTAAAGGAATGTTAACTGTCTGAGAGCGATTGGATAAAGAGGAGAGGAACCATTTTAGAGCGTTATTTGATATAGGCAGGCTTTGGAATGAAAGATATGATTGACAGAATCAAAAGCTTCTGAGAAGTCGAAAAGGACAAGGATAGAGATTTTCTGTTATAGTAAGTAATATTTGGGCCATCTCAACAAGTTATAGAGGCGTATACTCACAGGTATGTTGCGGCTGATAGGCTGGAGAAGACTTGGCACTTTGCTGCTGGAAGGAGTACGTCAGGTGTAAGTTGATGTGCCTGCCGAAGGGGGAACTGTCTCCCAGATCTCGTCCGCCACCGAGGCCCGCCTGTGCCCCTCCACCTGCGGGAGAATACCATATTAACAACGTATATGCATATATATATATACATATATATATATAAGGCAAACAAGGTCACTTATAAATAAATAAAAGTTAAATCAAAGTTTTAAACCGAAAATAAGTATATCTATTCCTAAAATATGTTCTTGTGTACGCTATATCAGAAGCGATGAAATTGAATGAATGAAGTATCATAAGAAAGGAAATTCCAAGATTAAGCTCAGATAACTGAATCTTGGTTAAAACAGTGAATTGTGCAACTAGTGTTGCCCAAATGCGTGACCAAGACTCGTCTTGGTCTTGCAAACTCAGTCTTGGTCGTGGTCTTGGTCTTGCGCAAGAATCTCGCAACAGTCTTGCAGTTACTTAAGAGCTTATTACTATAGAGATATTACAGTAATTTTGAGGAGTTGAATGCAACAGGATATTGTTTACACCATTTATTCACATATTAACTATAACATAGCAACTAAGATTGTCAAGTATAAGTAACTATATTGCCTTAATTTTTATTTAAAAAATACATTTTTTTTTTACCAGTCCTGGTCTTGGTCATGCAACAGTTAGGCGGCCTTGTAAAATAAAATAACAAAATAACATTGTGTTAAGAACATCTTTATATTATAATTGTATCGTAAAAATCTTTAAATTATTTTATTATTTCTGCCAAAAATAAATCTACATCTAGAACAATTTTAACATGTGCAACCTATGGTTGTGTTATACGTTTAAGGAAATTTAATATTTAACCGACTGTTTGAAAACGGCCAATAATTATTTTTTATTTTGGCCAATAATTGCTATTACTATAAAATAATGCTTTAATTTTAGGGTTTTGTTAAAAGGCTTCGATTAAAAAAAAAAAAAAACTATATGGAATATAGTGAGTGTTCTTAATTCCTTATTAATGTTATTCAACGTTTCGACCACTTTGCAGGTCTTCATCAGGGGCTACAAAAGATACAAAATATAAAAGGTGCATGGTGAAAATAAAATAAATGAATTGTAAGTAGATATTAAATAAGAAACAGTTGTCTGATATAGAAATAATAAGATGTCATCAGAGATATAGTGGGTGACAATGTAGTTAAAATATCAAGTATTATATATATAGAAGATTCAAACAAAAATAGAAAATAAGTATGAATAAAAATAGAAATCTCCTTTGTTTTCTATTTTTATTCATACTTATTTTTGCACTTTGCAAGACCAAGACCGATCTTGGGCAACAGTATGTGAAACTGCTCCTTAGTCGAAAACTTTCTAGGACCAGTTGCTCCAACTCAGTAAAGCTTAGATTAAGCGTTATCTAAGACTAAACCAAGTTTAACATTGATCGGTCGACCTTAGAAAACATGGTTGCGGTCGACGCCATGGTTGCCAAGGGATACTTATCAAATGTTTAGGTTTTAAAAATTAAAATAGTGTCAGATGTCTTGAGCGAGTACATTATTTAATTAGACTAAGTAAAGTAAAATGGTAAAACGGGACACCATTTACCGAGAGAATGGCCAAATTTGTTGTTACAATAATTAATTTTAGATGATGATAATCTAGTGCAAATTTTAATCAGGTGACATAGTATCCAACTGAAATAATGTAGACAATTTAGTTCTAAAGACGTATTTTTTAGAACGAATATTTTGATGGTGTATTTGACGTCTAATTTATGACATCAATTTTAACACAATTTATAAGATTTAAATGTATTGTGCCAGCAGTCTGCGCACAATGAAGTTTTTCTTTTTCGAAATTCTATGAAACTTATTGGAGATGAAAAATATCGGTAATCGAAGTCATGGTGTGAATGTGCTCTCAGAACTCTATTTTAAATGTCCTTTATTGAGACAGATTGTAATATTTATCAATAAACCATTATAAATGCAAATGCAATCGAAGTCATTTATAAAAAATGAAGTTAATTTTATGATGCCCAAGATTTAACCTTTTCCTTATCGATATATTTTTTTAATAACGTTATCTTATTAAAAAGATATTTTGGGGGTTATTTATTAAGTGGAAACAACGATGGTTGAATTCTAATAAGTGATAAACAATGCAAAAATTTGCTAAGCATTTCTCGATAATCAATTCTCAGCAATTATTCGTTATTATTAAAGTTTAACATTGTAAAATTAACAAATGTAATACAAAACTTTTCCTGTTCTCCTACCGTCCGCTAGATTGTCGTTCATACTTTCCAAAAATCGGTACTGTCACGCCAAAAACGGAACGTCTGTACACCTTAAAGTAAAGGGACTTCAGCCCGCAAACTTTTTTTTAATATAAATATTAGAATAATTGATTCCGGAAGAATGAAAGAAACTAAGTACCTTGAATGAAATGGTGTTTAAGTAATTCTTTAAGTTCTATTAAATGTAATTGGACGAACAAAAATACTTTTAGAGACAATTTTACATAAAACATAGTTATATTTTCTCATTTTGGGGGGCGGGTGAGATAGGCTTCAGCCCGAAAAACCCCTCTGTAGATTCGCCTGTGCGTATTACAATACGTCGAATGTATCAGGGAAACGGATACCTATCAAATATGTGCGTCCTCTCTGTGGTATACTAGTAATAATTAAACGAATTAAATTTGATCACACGGGTTGAAAATTATATAATAAATATTTTTTTATGAATGAATAATCGAAATAAAGATTTAAAAAAATGAAAATAAAGAAGTTATTGAATAGATTTCTGTTGGAATGATATCGGACTCTGTTTCACAGCAACACCGCTAGATACCGCCACCAGTCCTTCATTCGCCGTACTGTAATTTTATCTATTCCATACATTAAGATGGCCGATCCGTTTCTTTACTCATTCAAAAATGCTAGTTCATTTTATGTTTATTTTCTAGTACTTAATTATATATAATTTAAATCAAATTGGAATTATTTTTATTTCCATCTTTGCATTATAAAAATAAAAATAAGGATCACAGAAGCGAAGAAAATTATATTAATTCCTACTCCATAATCTTAATGAGAACACAATTCTTAAATTAAAGGAACACACATCTATATACCCATAAAATATGGTATAGAGCATTATTTCATACGGAGCAAAAACCGAGACCTTAATGGGAATTCAACAAGAAACTTCTGGTAACCGAAATTGTTTACTGGTGACGATAGACAAGAATATCCAAAATGGATGAAATAAAAAATCAAGTAAAGATACAGTAAAAAGAAAAAAAAAAAAATCGGTAACAGATTGAACAAAAATCCTTCAGATGGTATGGACATTTAATAAGAATAAGGGAGGTTTAGTTTAAGAAAATTAGCGGAAGAAACAGACGAGGTCCAAGAAAAACGTGGAATGAGGAAATAGAAGAGTCTATGATGCGATATAGTTTGCAAGAAGAATGGAATCTGGACAGAATATAGGAGACCATAGATAGTTTATAGGTTAAGGAAACTCATTGTTGTATGAGAAAACCCTAAAAAAATCAAATTGGGCGAGGGAGAAATGTATTATAAGAAACAAGTTTGTCAAGTAGGATCCGTATAGTTCCCTCACAAGTTCTATTGTTTGCATAATTACCTATATTTTGAGGTATATGATTTGTCATTTCGAAATATAATCCACAAGAGAAACCGTTTTTGATGTTAATGTCCTGTTAACAAAAAGCGTACGGCTAAGCTAAAGAAGTAGACGAAATTTTAAAAATAGATATTAAAGCTTTTAGGTATCAAAACTCACAAACCGATAGGATTTATAAAATTGAATTTTCGAATACAATATAAAGTCTTATAGCCATACATAACTATAGTTGGTATAAATATGACCCCCTTTGCATACGTTCACTGCTAACCACATTCCACAGTCATTATATATATATTCTTACAATTTGGAACGTAATCTTTAATTGACAGAGAATGGAATTTTATGATGTGGATACTAAAATGATGTATAATCTACTTATGGCGTTAGCAAGCGTTTTATACATATATATAACAAATGTGTTAAAATGTTAAAAAAAAAATATTATAAATGATAAAATGAGCCATGAAGTTTTTTCGCAAAGATTTCGAAATGATATCAAAGTAAACTAATTCATGATTATTGTTATTTTTTCAGAATAAAGAGATTTATTCTTGTTTATCAAATACACTTGGAAATAACATTATATTGACTCTAAATCTTAACGAAAGTATTGATATGAGATCCATTTCACAAATACAAGATGGCGGGCAGTTTCATGATCACTCCAGCATGCTACTCCTAGATTCCCGAAACGAAACTACGACTACGAATCTACGAAACGAAACTAATACTAAATATTTATTTTGGATTGTGGAAAAGGTTCCATTTTTTTTTTTTTTTTATCGCACTCTTGCTTAGTTTATGAGAATAAAACCATAACCGACCGATCCATCCTGACCCTCGACATTCTTAGGCACTACTATAAATATAATTGCTCACATTGGCTCCCCTTCAGCTTTCCGGTGTGCATGTGCTTCTTCTGCCGCGCCCTCGAGTTCTGGAACCAGACCTGGGTGACCCTCTTGGAGAGCCCTGTGATCTGGGCGATCCTCTCGAGGTCCTGGCCGTCCGGGTTCGAGTCCAGCTGGAAGTTGGCCTGCAGGACTTGGAGCTGCTCCTCGGTGAACGTCGTCCGGACTCGCTTCGCCTTGCTCTTGTTGTGGTAGGACTCGCTGTCACCTCCTTCTGCAACAGAATCGTTCTTCCATCAGGAACATTCGGAGATCGATTATTCATCGATATACAAAGTTGATACAAGGAGGTGGTTATTAATAATAGTTTATGTTCAGCACAATCACAAAATCATATTGTTAAAAACACTTCTATTCCGATAATCGGTAATCAAACTCCACTAACCATTATCACTAAACTGCACATATTATGTTGAAAACTTTAAAGCAAAAGATCATATCCTGTGTATTGAAGTTATATCAATCGACACAGACGGGCGGGTGTTTAAAGGTTGTGCTTTGCTTGGGCATGTTTTTCTATGTTTGGAACCAATCCATCAAGCAGAGCTTGTGAAAATCACCACAAGAATCGCTAGTGTTGCTCAATATTTCATCAAATATTTGCGATTCTACTAGGTTTATTATTTTCAAAATAAAATTAGTATAAACCAAAATATTTCTCTGTAACACAGGGATATTTATTGATCCTCCACTATCCGTATGTTGATCCTTCATTTACCAAAAGGTTTATATGCGTATGTGTTTGAGGCGATAAAAAAAAAAAAAAAAAAAAAAGCCTCCATTATTCAAATGTCTGACATTGGAAATTCCATAATTCAAGTAAAATTGTGTTCCTTTGTTTATTTCATTATTCAGTTCAGTGTTTTATGAGCTTAAGATTTAAGGTCCGTTATAAATCGCGAATACCAAATTTTGGTTTATTTTCAATAATGGACCATTGTAATCGAACAAAAAATTCAAAAACTGAACCTCCTATCAAAATTTGAGGTTTTGAGGATATGTAAAATTCAAAAACGAATATAAAATTTTTTGTCCGTCCGCGCATTTCCTCCGAAACTACTGGACCGTTTTTTTTTTCAAATTTGTATCTAAAATCAGAGGTCACCCGAGGATGATTCTCCTTCATCGACATTACTATCTGCTTTTTCCTTTCAACCTGCGTTGTTATAGACTGTAGTGCCTTAAGGAATGTACCGATTTCAATAAAACTTAAAGTATTCTTCTTGATGCCATTTAAATTTATCTATATGATATACTTCAACAAAAAGAAGCTGGACAAAAACTTACGAGGGGTGGTAAAATTAGATTTCAAAAAGTATACACTTTTTTGTTGATATTGTATTATGGTTATTTAAAAGTTTACGAAATTTGCTTTAAAAAATCATTTGTATATAGGTATGTATGTGTTCTTTTTATTCGTTTATTTTTAAGTTATTTTATTCTTATTTATTGTATATATATTATTTTTCTGTATAATTAATTTTATTTACTGTATATAGAGTGTGAATGTGATCTGTGAACACTATTATAAATGTCCTTGAGACAGATTGTAATATTTTTCAATAAATAAGCTTAAAAAAAAAAAACGAATCTTTAAAATCAGAAAATTAGGATCAAAGATATGGTCTCTAGATATTCTACTGAAAAGGCTATATCCTTTGGTTTGGTTTTTTATTGTGTTACTGAAGTAATGCTAATTTTTTTTTTTTTTTTTGCAAATTAGTAATGATGAAAAAAAAAATGTTTTGGCCAATAATTGGAATCCCCTATTATTTCTTTTTCTTTGTCAGTAAGAAGGTCTCTCAATTCTTCTTTCTAGGGTGTGCATAAGTGTCTGGGTCTAGTTTATTAAATTGTGCAAGTAGCATAACCAGTCTCGTAAGAAAATTGGTATTCTCATAAGGTTTAAGAAAACAATAACACAGTTTTACTTTCACTTACCTATATACGTAATATATAGTAAATCTAGCTCAAAAAAAAAAATCGTACGAAACTGATATTACGTATTTAATATAGATGTATGCCTTGGATGTTACAGCAACTTTTTCGGTAAAATCAACTAACTGGAAGTTGCACTTTATATCAACGGTTATACACATTTTTACAATTTTCTCAAAAACGACTACAACGATTTAGATTAAACTCGGTGTATAATTGTATAATTAAGTGATCTTTAATATCATTAAGGTCCTACCCTCAATAATTTCACTTTACAGGGCTTAAATGCTTAAACGTTCAACATGTCTTCTACTTAAAGTACCTTTAATTTGGTTTATTTTAAATAATTAAATGGTACTTTGGATGTATAATTGTCTAAAAATAATAAACGATTATGAAATAATTTGCAGCGATTATTACGTGTAATAACATTAATCACTTTTTTTTCTATTGGGCTTAAATGGATGAGTTGTAATATTGTTAATCAATACACTGAAAAATATTTTGAAAACTGAAAAAATATCCAGAGTTCATTGATCAATCCGATCTAAAACGTAGCTTAATGGCCTAACGTTTTGAGGTCGTCCACTTATCGTGTTAAACTTCGCTTCAGTTAAGTTCAGCTTGAGTGATAGAAGCGAATAATTGTCAGCTGCGATTTCGAAAAAATATTTGCCATTGTTTTGTCTAAAGGGGCGCGAACCTGTACACTTTAGACAGGAAGTGCTACAGTAATCGGGAGCAAGGGTGGCAGCCCTGGAACGGCTTCCGGTGCCCATTAGAGTCAGCAGAGCTGCTGGAGCGGAAGGAATTGCCGAATGGAATCGGAAGTTACTGACAACAAGTGCTAATTTTTAAACAATTAATTCTTGCCAAATCATCCTTTAGGTCTGGGTTTGTTAATTGAAATGCGAGGTTTCCCCGTAAATACAATATATTAAGTATTATAATATTATTTATATTTTATTGGGATGTAATTATAATTATTATGAAATAGAAAGGAAAGTGTAATATAAAACAATACAAATATTAAAAATGAAAGACCCAAATTGATGCTGGGCTTATATGGAGCTGGACAAGTTGAATATATATTATGGTTATAAATTGGCACTCAGAATAATTATATAATAATATAAATTAGCAATAAGGAGCTAAATATAATATAGATTTTTAAAGGAATTAAAAATTTGTCGGAACTATGCATTCGTTCCGTTTATTTTATGTTAATAAAAAATAATACAATCTGAACTATAGAATACAGTAAATTACATTTATATAATTTGAAAATACAACGAGTAGTACAATTAATGAACAGTTACATAATTTCTAAACTGTGGGTTGGTTAATTGTGGTACACCTCTAGTAAATAAAAATATTCGAATCACGGTAAAAAAAAAAAAAAAAACTAATCTCTGTTGTTAGTTTTATGAACTAAAGTTTCAACTAAAACAATTAGACCAACAAAAATACTTTTAGGTACAATTTTTTTCTCATAAAATATGGTTATATTTTACCATTTGGGGAAGGGGAGAGGGATAGGGCTTCAGCCCAAAAGCCCCCCCCTAGATCCGCCTGTGGTCACATGTAAGGAGAATAGATAGATGTGATAGACGAGTAGCTCATTCACACTATGTACAATAAATAAAAAGCAAAATAATAATACTTAAAGTAAATGTATATAAACTAAAAGTAACTAAACAAATCAAAATAACTACTTAAGTACACACGATTTATATCATATTTACAAAATTCGTTCACTCAAGATCTTCTAGCCAATGTTTTTCCCTCATTCATGGAAGTAAAAATAGGACTCTAGGAGATCCCAGCACCACTCCCTCAGCCGCATTATTAGTATTAAGGACCAGTGTGTAAATTATCTTTTTTTTTTTTTTTTTTGCTTCCTCATTACCGAAGGTAGGAAAGCATTGTATTTCTTTTTACGTTATATTTGTTACTTCAGATCGAAGAGTTTTAGCAGTATAATAAAGAATAATAGGATTTTATTTGTGAGTACACTTGATATTTTACATAATCGTGTGTTAAAATGTTATTTATAACGTGACATATACAATGAAACGAATACGCTCATAAAAAAAAAAATTGATCTTTTTAGACAATATATTCAAACCTATTCGGTATTAATAGTAAAATTTTAAGTATACTCACAAAGAAAATCCTATTAATCTTTAATATACTAGTAAAACTCTTCGATCTGAAGTAACAAATAAAATGTAATATATATATATATATATATATATATATTACACACTGATCCTTAATACTAGCAATTCCGCTAAGTGAGAGGTGCTGGGATCTCCTAGAGTCCTATCTTTACTTCCACGAATGAGGGAAAAGCTTTGGCTGGAAGATCTCGAATGAACGAATTTTGTAAATATGATATAAATCGTGTGTACTTACAGATTTTTTGATTTGTTATTTTGATTTGTTTAGTTTATTTTAGTTAATATACATTTACTTTTAGTATTGTTATTTTGCAGTTTACTTATTTTTATTTATTGTATATAGTGTGAATGGGCTACTCATATATCGCTTCTATCTATTGTCCTTAGATGTGACCACAGGCGGATCTATGGGGGGCTTTTGGCCTGAAGCTCTATCCCCTCCCCTTCCCCAAATGGTAAAATATAACCTAATTTTATCTAAAAGTATTATTGTAGGTCTAATTACATTTAATAGAACTTAAATAATCACTTAAACACCATTTTATATAGGTATTTAGTTTATTTCATTCTCCCGAAGTAATTATTGTAATAAATACATAAAAAAAAGTAAAGTCTGAAGCCACCTCCCCCCAAAATTAGTCCCCCCTGGATCCGTTTGCGTATGTGACATAATATTTCTCAATAAAGAATTGATTTTTTTTTTTTTTATAAAATTGGTATAAGTATCTATTCTTATCTAAAACACCCAATGAATCCGATGATAAAATTCTTTTTTTTTTTATAAACAAATCTAATTATTTAAAAAACTTTTAAATCAGTTTAAATAAATACAACACTAATCTGTAATTAACACTAATTTATTTTTATTTATTTTACATTGTGTGAATGAGCTACTCTTCTATCACTATTACTATTGGCCATAGATTTGACAGATTGTAATATATCTCAATAAAGAACTTTCGCAAAAAAAGATATTTCGCACGATGAAGCGGTTACACCGCCATGGATCGGCATTCTCTACTTGTACCTGTCTTAGGATATTACTTTCCAATTATCTCCTTGCAGCTCTGCAGTATCTTTGTTGATTAGATGT